ATGAGTGACACGGGGCGGAGCCACACAAGGGACCCTGTGCGGCCACGAGGAGGACGGAAGCACGGGCCCCGCTGCCATGTGGACAAACCCTGAAAACACGCTGAGCAAAAGAAATCAGGCCACACCCACGTGTCACGTGACTCCTTTTACATGAAACATACAGAACAGGTAAATCCAAAGGGACAGAGAGCAGACTTGGGGGCAGGGGAGGGGGGTGGGGACAAGGTGCCTATGGGGAATGCAGTGATGGAAATCTCAGGCCCAGCTAGAGGAGGCAACTGCAGAATGTGGCGAATGTGCTAAACGCCCCCAGATCTCACCTTCATCCCGGGGCTCGGGAGGCTGAGGCAGGAGGATCGAGAGTCCAGAGCCGGCCTCAGAGACTTAGTGAGGCCCTAAGCAACTCAGTGAGACCCTGTCTCTAATAAAATACAAAAAAGGGCTGGGGATGTGGCTCAGTGGTTGAGCACCCTGAGTTCAGTCCGTGGTGACTCTCATGGTACATGTCGCATGGCATATGGTAAGTCTGTGACGGTCTGTGTCATCCACCACCTTCTCTGGGGCCGGATCTGCAGACGTGCCAAACCCCACGTCCCTGCTCCACCTGATGGACAGCTGTGGGCGGCTGGCCCATGGGGAGCCCACTTCCTGACTCGTGCAGGGAAGCCACTGTGGCCAGGTATAAAGGAAGGGGGGACACCGAAACTCATGGGAGGGGGAAGGGACAGAGCAGGAGTCCAGGGGAGAGTCTGTGTCCGCTCACTGGCCTCTGGCTGCCTGCAGGCCCTGGAGGTTCAGCCTCCAGGGCCTGCAGCTTTCCCGCCACAGCTCAGGGCAGCTCAAGAGGCTTCGACTGGGAGGTGGCTCACGTCCCACAGTGCCCAACAGTGGGTTCACTGTGTCAGCTGGTGGAATAAACCACAGCACGAAGCTCATCCAACGCACCAAATCCACAAGCTCACGGCCGTGTGTTCTCATAGGACTTCACTGGCCACCCCCAGAGGATGTCAGAGAACAAAGCTCGTTCTGAAAAGTGATCAATAAAGAGAAAGAAGCAGGCACCCCCATCTCTCCTATCAAAATCCAGTCCCGGGCAAGTGCGTGGAGTGAGGGGAAGTCGCCCTGGGTAGGATTAATCCAGCTGGCAGTGAAGGAGGAAGCCAGCAGGGAGCCTGCCCCCTGCACCACTGGGCACAGAACAAGGCACCGTGGCATCCCTGGCCCGCCTCCTGGGGACGTGCGCACCACCGCCCCGCACGGCTCGCACCAGCAATGGGCCACACTGGCTCCCAAGCCAGCCTGCCCACTCTCCTCTGAAGGGCAGGAGCAGTGGCACCACCAACAGCACCATGAGGGGCGGCAGCACGCTCCGGATGGTGGGAAAGGCTACAGGGTGTTATCCACCAGGCGTCTACCTACAGCAGCAAGAAGGAACAGGGAACGGAGAACCCAGTGGGGTCAACTCAAGAGTCCGCTCCACCAACTGCCATGTGCGCACTCTCCAGACTCTGATTTCAGTAAGCAAAGTAAGAGGAAAACATCCGTGAGATAACAGGAAGCTAGAATAGCAACTGGAGATTAGAAGATGTAAAAGAACATGGGCCACACGTGGGCCTCCAGGGGGCACCTGTCATCCCAGCCGCTCGTGAGGCTGAGGCAGGAGGATCACAAGTCTGAAAGTCAGCCTCGGCAACTTAACGAGGCCCTAAGCAACTTACAGAGACCCTGTTTTAAAAATAAGAAATACGAGGGCTGGGGCTGTGACTCAGGGGTTAAGGATGCCTGGGTTCAATCCCTGGTACCAAAAAAGAAAAAGAATATGGATTTTTTAAACAATCTTTGACTTTTACAAATACACTTTAGAACACTTAGAATATTTACATATGAAGTCTTGAATTTGCTCCAAAATAATCCAGTGTTGGGCAGGTGGACGGCGAGAGCAGGGAGATACCGTACAAGATCGACTGTGAACTGGTGATTCCAATTTGGGTGATGGGAACATAGAATCATATTATTCTCTCTACCAGTTTGTAAGACTATTCCCATAATAATAATAAAAAAATAACCCCTCCCCAGAATTTCCAACAACCCAAGTGTCCTGTGCCACACAACTAATCAAAGTCTGGCCCAGTCATCAAATGGAATACTAAGCAGCTGCGACAATGGTGGGCTCTCCTTAAAAAAACAAAAACAAATCAACAACAACAAAAAAATCAGAGGGCTGGGGTTACGGCTCAACGGTAAAGCACCTCCCTAGCACATGTGAGGCCTGGGATTCAATCCTCAGCACCACATAAAAATAATTAATTAATTAAAGGTATTACAACTAAAAAAAAGAAAAAAAAAACAGAACCAGAATTGCCACATGATCCTGCAATCCCACCACTGGGTGTGCATCCAAAGGAAAGAAAATTGGCATCTGGAAGAGACCCCTGTGCTCCTGAATTTACTAGGGCACACTATGCATGGTGGCCAGGACCTGGAGTCCACCAAGGTGAGGTGCATGGACACAGTGGAATCGTGTTCAGCCACAAACCAAGAGGCTCTGTCATTTGCAGCATCGTGGATGCAGGGCAGGATGTTATGTAAGGGAGGGAAGTCAGGAACAGGAAACAAACCCCACCTGGTCTTGCCCCTGTGTGGAAGCTGAAGGGTTGATCTCCTAAGCTGGGGGTGTGGTTCAGTGGTGAGCGCTTGCCTGGCCTGTGCAAGGCCCTGGGGTCACATCCCCAGTCCCACAGAGGATTTTAAAAGTCGATCTCACAGAAGCAGAGAGGGAGCATAGAGGCTGGGAAGGTGTCAGGAGGGGGATGAAGAGGAGATGGCTGGGGTGGGTGCAGCTGGGTGGGAGGAACCATTTCTAAGGTTCCAGAGCACAGCAGGAGAGCTCAGTGAACTCATTATATATCTAAAAGCAGCTGGTCAGGGGGACTGTGACTGTCCCCAACACAAAGAAATGACGGAGGCTCCAGGGGACAATGGGCCGATTTTGCCCTGACCTGATCACGGCAGGCTGGGACACAGACGGAAAGGTCACGGCGTACCCACAGGCACGTGCCATATTGCCAGTTAAAATAAAAAACATGTTTAAAAGCCGACGTTCTCAGGCTGGAGACGCAGCCCAGGGTACGGCATGTGTCCCGCAGGTGTGAGGCCCTGGGTTCTGTCCCCAGAAGCACAAAAAATAAAATAAGATGATCTCAACAGTATTGAATGATGCAGAAAATAAGCGTGTTTCTGTTCCTGAATAAGCCAGTGACTTCCACGAAGCTGATTTACCTAGGAACAGTGACAGACCAGGAGCCGGGCACAGAGAGAAGTCACGGACACCACAGAATGCGGACTGCATGTAAGTGTAGAGCAGGCGGCCAGCAGAGCCGCGGGAGGGGGTGACACTGGGCAGAGCTGGAAACAGGTGGGTGGTGTCATGTGGGACCTTGTCACTCTGAAGGCTTTGTCATGAAAACAGCATGACCTGGAGATTTGCAGAAGCAGCTGTGGAAAGCTAGACCAGGGCCAGAGCTCGCTGTAGGGCCCACGGCACAGTTTGTTTTTCTCACGGCACTAAGACCTGAGCCCAGGGTGTCTCACCACTGAGCCGCATCCCAAACCCTTTTTAATTTTTTATTTTGAGACAGGGTCTCACTAAATTGGTGAGGCTGGCCTCAAACTTGCTATCCTCCTGCCTCAGCCTCCCAAGTAGCTGGGTTATCAGCCTGAGCCACCTTGCTCAGCGTTTCTAAAAAAGAAATCACAGTACAAATTGATTTTAATTATATCTTCCTATGTGAGTTAGGAGTATTCCGTTTTGTAGCTGATTCTGTTTAAATGACTCTGGACACTAAAATGTTCCCCATGATCACATCTCCGTCACACAGGAGGGCTCTTTAGAATAAATTTTTAATTGAGGTTTTCTTTAAGCACATTTTCCAGTGTCTCTTTAATTAAAAAAGGATTTTTTGTGTACAGCAATAATAACAGAAGCTTCAGAATGGAGGAGGCCTCCTGACCCAAACACCAACAGATCAGATCTGTTAATGCACAAAAGGGCAGCCCCAGCTCAGCGGAGTCTGTTCTAAGAGGGCAAAGTGGCCTCCCATCCAGAGGCTCATCTGTGTGATTTCTTCACATTAACAGGAGATGTAGGAAAAAAATTATAAAATTCATTAGCATTGATGATTATTTCCAGTAAATACCTCCTTGCAAAAATCATAAAGAAGGGCCGGGCGCGGGGTGCCTGCCTGTAATCGCAGCGGCTCAGGAGGCGGAGGCAGGAGTTCAAAGCCAGCCTCAGCAACTTAGCGAGACCCTGTCTCTAATAAAATACAAACGAGGGCTGAAGGAGACTTCCCACATGCATCTGCCACTAAAGTCTATCTAAAAAAGACCCAAAGCAGGGCTGGGGCTGGTGCTCAGTGGCAGAGCGCTTGCCTGGCCCGTGTGAGGCACTGGGTTGGATCCTCAGCACCACATAAAAATTAATTAATTAATTAATTAAAGGTGAACGCATCTGAGCCACTGAGCCACTGGGCAGGACAGCCAGGAGCTGAGGCCTGCCCCTGCCCGCTCAGGGGGGGGGCGTGAGACCTCCTGGGCGGGCCTGGACTTCCAAGGTGTCTGCCAGCAGGAACACATATTTTCAGGCAAACCACTAAGTGTGGCAATATAAAAATGACTCGGGAGGCTGAGGCAGGAGGATCACAAGTTCAAGGCCAGCCTGGGAAACTTGGGGAGACCCTTCTCAAAATAAAAAATAAAAAGGGCTGGGGCTCGGGGGTACAGCACCCCTCCGTTCAATCCAGGGTGCAAAAATAAACAAAATAAAACAAAAACAGAGGGGCCGGGGTTCTCGGGGCCCTGCCCTCCCAGCTCCCTCCGCCAGAACTTCCCACACTGCCCGACACCAAGCACCTGGGAGCCCGAACACTGAGCCCCGGCCACGCCAGGCGGGTTGTCCCCCTGCCCGCCCGACCCAAGGCCCCACTCACCCCAGCGCAGCACTATACCAGCCCGTCGTAGAGGGACAGCGCCTGCACGATGGACGGGTCGGCCTTGGACCCTTCCTGGAACTCCTGCAGCGTCAGCTTCCCGTCCGCGTTCTGTGAGGGACACAGGTGGCCAGGGTGGGCACAGCTCGCCCGGCCCCGGCTCCGCCCACCGGCCCCGGCTCCGCCCACCGGCCCCGGCTCCGCCCACCGGCCCCGGCTCCGCCCACCGGCCCCGGCTCCGCCCAGCCAGGACCCCACCCACCAGCCCCGGACCCGCCCCACAGCCCAGGAAACTAGCCAAGGAGACCCTCGGAAGTGGAGAGGGACACAGGTGGCCAGGGTGGGAGTCACCCTCCAACAGACCCCGGCCCTCACTGGCTCGTGACCTGGGGCTGTGACCCACCCCCGGGGCCTGTTTCCTCCTCTGGGGAGGGGGCGGGAGACGTGGGGACAGCTCCTGTGCCTGGTGAACTGGAGGCCCCTTCCGGCTCTGTGCTTTGTATCATTTATACACAAATGTGCCAGTCCCGAGGGCAGGGCCCACGCGTTGCTCTGGGGCTACTTTTGGAAGTGCGCTTAACCACACATTGACACTGGCCCACAGGAGGCCGAGAGGGCCCAGGAGCTCAGTGAGACACAAAGGAACCTGGATTCTCCTTGGGCTGGAGCCCCTTCCCCTGGAGCATGGCTCAAGGAGCCCAGGACACCGCTGCACACCTGCTCACGCTGTGTCTGGCCTACCTAAGGGGACGGTGCCATGCTAACCTTTGACCATGAGAACACTGACCCAGGGTCGCCTACCCAGGGTCCCACAGCTGGTGCTGGGGACGTCAGGTCGACACCCCAGCAGGCTGCCTCCAGGGGCTGCACAGTTTCCCCAAACAGGGGAGGTGAGACAGGGGAGGAGAGCCTTGGCAAGAGACATCAGGGAGCCCCGGGGGCCGGTGCCTGGGGTTCCTCTACTGGAGGCCCCGACTGGGCTTCCTCACGACCATGATTTCAAATTTCCATTTAAATCAAAGTTATTTTAGTTAATAAAAAGCAGTGTGGAGGGCTGAGGAGCAGCTCGGAGGTAGAAAGCATGCATGGCACACACCAGCCTGCTCGGGTCCCCAGACAGACAGAACGGACGGCGCCTCCCCTGGGCCGGGGGGACTGGGCAGGCCGTGGGCAGGCGGGAAGGTCAGTCCTCCTTCTCGGACCTCTGGAGGAAAGGCGGCTGCCCCTGAGTGACAAAGCTGGAGCACCCCCACCAGAACCACAGGGCCTGGGACTCTGCCTGCAGCCTGCCCCCCACACGTCATGGCTGCCACTGTCACAGCTCGGAGACCACGGGGGTCGTCAGATGCCACATTTCTTCCTTTGAGGGGCTGAGGATGGACCCCTGGGCCCTGCACGGCTAGGCAGGCACCCCAGCCCGAGCTGCACCCAGCCCCGAGCTGCACCCAGCCCCGAGCTGCACCCCAGCCCAGGGCTGCCGCCACCCTTTACCATTTGATGTGTTGATAGTGAGCTCCCTTAACACAGTCACAGGCCCTCCTGGGACACTGTGTTCCCACACTACTAGCTCCCTCCCTTTCTGTCCTGTGGACTTTATGCACTTGAAGCTGTTGTTCTGAGGGGTCCATGGATTTCTCCAGAATGCCAGGGGGCCCGGGGCAAAAAATAAGTAGAGGTCAAGGACCTGGCTATGAAGCAGACTCGTTGAGCTCACTTGCCTGAAAGTTAGGACATAGTGGCTGCTCACAGAGGGCAGGGCGCCAGGCCGACCACCTGTCTGATCAGCCCCCAGGGGCTCAGTGTCCCCACTGCTGCCCACAGGCCCGCCCCGCTCTCCCTGCGGAGGAGCAGCCTCACCTTGTCCATCATGGCAAAGATGCGGTCCACCCTCTTCTCAGGGGTGTTCTCCTCCTCGGGCAGCTCCACCGTGTTCCCCTGCCACAGGACACGGCAGGGTGGGCCTGGGCTCTGGGCTGCGTCCAGCTGAGGTCCGCCCCTGTCTCGGCCTCCCATCCTCACCCCGCCTTCTGCCATCTGGCCGCCTCCCCCACCCCCACAAAGATGGCCCCAGCAGCCCAGCCAGCGGGCTGCCCCGGGGCCAGGCCCAGCCTCAGTGCCCTCCGGCCGCCCTCCCCAGCGGCCCCTCACCACCATCTGGTAGATGGCGTCCACGATGTCCAGCATCTCGTTCCTGGTGATGTAGCCATCGTTGTCCAGGTCGTAGAGCTTGAAGGCCCCTGCAACCAACCGCCCACTGTGACCCCGGCCAGGCCGCTGCTCCACGCCCCTCCTCGACACGGAGCCCAGGGGGGACGGCCGGCACTCATGGGCCCACTGCCGACACCAGGACGCACCCCGGCAGCTCGGGGTGAAATGAGTTAAAACAGGTGGACGGCCAGCGCAGGCTGCGGCTGGGGCTGGACCGGTGTGTGAGGAGCGCAGTCCTGTACCTGGCCCGGGGTGTCTCATGGTGCCCCCCATCCCATCCCCCCCTCCTCTGGGTGTCTGCCCCCCAGTGGTCAGCGTTAGCAAATAGGCAGGCAGGGAAGGGGGCTTTTGCGTGAATGAAATTCTTTTCTATGTCTAAAAAGGGGTGCTCCCGGCGCTGATGGGGACCGCGGGACCCAGTGCGCGAGTCCTGAGTCCCTTTGCTGCACTGCACGGTGGCCCATCTAAGGGCATGCGGCCTGTCCCCCTCTCCGGGCCTCAGTAGGAGGGGTTCCTGGACTCTAGACTGACGGCCCTGAGAGCAGGGACCTGTCTGTCCAGCCTGGTGGATTCTGACGTGTGGCCTTGGGTCTGCACTCGTTGAGTGATGGATGAATAAGTGAATGAGTGAAATCCGCAGGCAGAACCACGGCCAAGGGAGTCCCCGGACCCCACCCCACACTGCCGGCTGTCCCAGGCCCATGCTTTCCTGGATGTCACCTGTGCTCTTGCCAGCCCCGTCCCACGGGCCCCCGTCCATTCCTCCTGCCTGGTCACCTCCAGGAACCCTCCTCTGGCCCAGAAGGGCAGGTGTCAGTGCCGCTCCCTCAGCCCAGCGCAGACGGCCTGGCCCAGCTCAGTGGCCATATGAGGCCCACCTGCCCAGGGCCCGCTGCCCTGGCAGCTCCGGCCCGGCCACCATCTGGGTCACTACCGTGGTGTCTGGCGCCCCCATGTGGCGAGGGCCAGGGGCTGCCTCCCTCTATCCTGGGGGCAGGACGCATGGGACTTACACCGTAGCTTCTCGTCCAGTGTCCCCCTGGAGGTCACCGACAGCGCCTGGATAAACTCGGAGAACTCAATCCGCCCATCCTGAGGGGAGAAGGGGTGGCCTCAGTCAGCACCCGGACCTTGGAGGGTGGTACCGTGGCAGCAGCATCACCAGGGAGCATCCGGGGGACCAGATGCCCCAGACGCCCTGCTGTGAGCACAGACCCTGCATTCATGTGCATCTACGTGTGCACACACGTGTGCATACACATCCGTGCATGCGTGTGGGCATGAGGGTGTGCACATGCGTGTGCACATATTCATATTCGCCTATGTTTGCAAGTCCATGCGTGAGTGAGTGTGTGTCCCTTCTTGGAAAGGGACCCTTTGCAGGGACAGTGGGGGGGGGTCTGGTGTGGGAGGAGCAGAGCCGGCTGCCCAGGGAGGGGGCACCTGGCCGCCAGCGATGCCCAGCTCACCTTGTTCTCATCAAAGACGTTGAAAACAAACGTGGCGAACTTGGTGGGGTCTCCGAACGGGAAGAACTGCTTGTAGATCTTCTGGAAGCCCGCCGCGTCCAGCTGCCCGCTGGGGCAGTCCTTGATGAAGCCCTTATACCTGGACAGCAGCGCGGCGGGAGAGGGCAAAAGGGACACCAGCTTCACCCACCCACACCAGCTCCTGCCCAGGACACAGGAAGGCCGGTGCCTGAGACGGTGCCCCACGGTCAGAGGAGCACAGACCTGACACCTCAGCTCACTCCCACCTCTGCCTCCCACAAGCTGTGTGGCCTTGGACAGGCGACCTCACCTCTCTGAGCCTTATCCACACAAGGCAGAAAAGAGTCAGCACAAGAACAACAGAGAACTGCACGCAGAGCCCTGGCCACAGTCCCCCACACAGGGCTATGAGGAGAGTCGCCCATAAGCCCCCAGGAATGGCACTTCTGCATAAAGGGCCTCCTGCCATCCCCTCGTCCCCCTTCCCCTCCTATACCACAGGGCCACCATATGGGGTGGGCTCCCCATTCACAGCCCTCCCCAGCCTCTTCTCCCAGGAAGTTGAGTGAGTAGGCCCTGGAGCAGCCCCAGGGGACCCTGGCTTGTCCCAGTGCCCAGCATGGGACCCCCCCACCAGACACCCAGGCCACTAGGATGTGGTGTGGCAGTCCAAGCCCCAGTGTAGGTCTCTGCTGTGCAACCAGGGACAGATGTCTGACCTCTCTGAGGCTCACGCCCATCTTGTTGGAGTCAGGTGAAGAGGTACCTGGACCCCCAGGGCCCACCTTTAAAAACATCCCTGCCTGATCCCCAGCACCTCAGGGAGAAAAGCCACCAGTGTGACCTGCAGTCTAAGAACTTAAATGTGTCTTGTGTTAAACTGATTTACGAATTGGCTCCCGGGTCGCTCAGCACCCCCAGGTGGGACACGTGCCGTCTGAGGACAAGTCCTCCCACCGCAGGAAGTCAGAGGGACGCAGTCGGCACCAGCTCTGACCTCCACCCGGTCTGCCATCTGTGAGTCCCCACGGCCCAGACTGGAGCTGAGGGGGATGGACGGTGACTTCTGACAAGGGCCAGTGCTCAGAGGAACCAGATGGCTGACCCGCGGTCCCACCGAGACCTGCGTGAGGCTGCACTCGCCCGCCACCCTCGAAGCAGAGGATCCTGGGAGCAGTGTGAGCCTCCTGTGACGCTGTGTGGGGCGCCCGGGATGGAGGAGGCCTAAGGAGAAGCCAGGGTCCCCTCCCTGATGACCAGCCTCTAAGGGGCCAGGATCGACGCTGGACACCCAGGGCCTGGGAGGACAGCCGGGCACCTGGCGGTGGGAGCCTGGGGTTCTGAGGCCTGAGAATGGCGGTCAGGTGTCCAGGGGGGTGGGACCCTTGTTCCAGGCATGCCTGCTGGGGCCAGGGCAGGTGGAGGGCGTGGGGCACCTCCTTCTGGGAGCTGGACTGGAGCAGGCACGCGGCTGTCCCAGCAGTGGCCGCACACCATGAGGCTCCCCGTGGGCTGAGCCTCTGGGCCTCTCCCTGCCCTCCCCCTCAGGCCCTCAGGATGGCAAGTCTGGGCACGGTCACCCTGGGCCTCTGTCACTGCCCATGACAGCAGCCCAATGCGAGGCTCCGTGCTGAGCCCTGAAGACGGTTCCTCATGCAAACCCCGCGGCTCGCGGCTGTAGGTCCAGTGATCCCACTGGACAGATGAAGGCACTGAGCTCAGATAAGTCAGCCCGGGCCTCACAGCCCAAGTCTAGCCATCAGCCTGGCTCTGCTTCTCCTGTCCCCCGCTGCCCGTCAGCCTCTGACGCAGCCTCAATTCAATGTGATGTCCAGGCCCACCTGGAAGCCCTGCGTCTCGTCCTTGGAGTCTGCCGGCCCCTGCCAGCCCCGGGGCTGCTCTGAGCCTGGTGCTCACAGCCAACCCCCCAGGAAGCACAGCAGGGCAGAGTCCGTGACACTGATACCAAAGCGTGGCTTTGAGCCCTTCCGGTCACAGGAGGGACAGACTGGCCCCCAGCTCCCTCCCTTGGTGCTCTCTCCCAGCTTCCTTCCGGGGACAGGAGGCAGACAGTTTACAAGCAAGAGGCCACCACCCCAGGTCCCCAAGCCAGGAGGGGTCCCTGGGCAGGGGAGGGACGTGCCTGGTGCAGGACCTAATGACCCCTCAGAGACGGCCTCTCCCGTGAGGACTGGCATCCCTCTGTTCTTCCTGCCCTTCTAACTCGATCCCCAAAGGTCATTCAAAAACAGCAAGATGCAATGAAAGGAGCCCAGGGGCGGCCCCCTGCCACGGCTCAGCGGGCTGGGCAGGGCCGGGGGCAGCTGCAGGGGCCAGTTGTGGGCACCATCCCGGTGGGAGCCTCCAAAGCCTGTCTGTCACACCTACAGAGGCTCCACAGGGCCCACCCCATGAGCAGGGGTCCCCAAAGCCCACCCCCAAGAGGCAGTGCCCACAGAGGGTGGCCAGCCCACGGCTCCAGCTTGCCCTGGCCACCCTGACCACCGGCCTCTCTGAGCCCCTCCCCCACGCAGCCTTGACCTGCGCCCTCTTCAGCAGGCCCTGCCCTGGGCGAGATTCCTGCCAGGCCAGACCAAGCTCCTTGCTGTCCCCCTGCTTGGCGGGGGACGAGGCGGCCCCCCACCTCCTGGTCACCCCTCATCCGTGGACCTCTCGGGGGCTCTGATGCCCTGTCTCTCCCCTGCTGGGACAGGCTCCACACTGCCCAGGTCCTGCCAGGAGGTCCCTGGGCACAAAGCCTCATGATAACTCCCTGGACCCCCGCCACTCCCCAGGTGCCAGGAGATGCGTCCTGCAGGAAGTGGGCCCACTGAGGCCGCAGGGTCCCCTGCTCCCCTGGTCCAGCACCAGCCCGCTGGACCACACTCCATCACATCTGCCTCCAGGCGATGGCCTCCCATTCAATGCCCCGTCCCTGACATGGGGGCACCCCAATGCTCCACTCACAGCCTGGTGCGTGACACGGGCCCAGCAAGTGTCTGCCTGGTAAGCTGAACAGATGAATACAGGGGAAGAGAGGGCGAGAGTTAGGTGTCCTGCTGCTCTGTCCTGAGCCCAGTGGAACTGATCCTCAAGAAACCCTAGCCAGCATCTAAGAGCCCTGTGAGGATGGTTAGAAGACTACTTCTGGGTGTTGATGCGGCTCTGGGGACCCAGAGAGGGGGAGAGACTGGCCCAAGGTCACACAGCAAGTTAGCAGCAGAACCAGGGCTCAGACTCAGGGCTCCTGCCTCCCAGCCTCCCCACCTCATGGCACCCCCCCACTTGCAAGCCAGGCTGTACCGCCCCCGGGGAAATGCAAGGGGAAAGCAGCTGCTACCCAAATATTATGTAACCCATTGTTCGTCCTCCGAAGGTGGAGGAGGTCTCTGCCTCGGCTGCAGCAGAGCAGGGGACACTGAGCTTCCCGGCCACCCTGGTTGCCCCGGGCCTGGGATTCGCCTCAGATGGCCAGGCTCTGAAGCCAGACTTCCTGCAGGTCTAACCTGGGGTACAGCCCCTCCCCACAGTGGGCACCCCGGGACTGGGGACCAAGCCCAGGAACCTGTCCCAGGATGGCTGGGACGTGACTGAACCAGCCCCACCCGCCCCAGGTCAGGTCCCGGCAGGTCCCAGCCTCCTCCCTCTCCGGTGGAGCCGCCAGCCGTCTGCCGGGTGCCTGGGCACGCGGGCCTGTGCCCTGGGCCTGGCCCTCACCTGCCGTGCTGTGGGAGGGACCCTGCACAAACCCCTTCCCCACAACCCGGCGGCCCTGGGCAGGGTTCCCGCCGTAGGCGCCTGACGCTGGGCAGCTCTGGGCACTGGAGACGGCAGGCGCCACCTCCTCCAGTGACTGCCACCCTGTCCCCAGACCTTGCCAAACACACCCTGGGGCAGCGTCACTGGGTTTACAGCCACTGGACTGGGGGACCCCCAGCTGGCAGGGATCTGCCGCAGAAGTGCCCGCGGGTCACACAGTCCGCACTAGGAGTCGCAGCTCCTGCCAGGCTCTGGTTCAGGCAGGATTTTGACACATGATCCCAACAAGCCCCAGGGGAAGGGGACAGTGATGGCCGCCTTACAGACTGGGTGCCCTCCGGGCTCAGGGTCCCGGGACTTCTGCCCGGCCTACCCCTTCCTCCACTCGGCCTGTGGTGTAACTGTGCCCTGAAGGCCGGAGCGCCGCCTGCACCCCGAGGCAGGCGCCATTTCGTTTCACCCCCGACCCTCTGGGGAGCTGGCCTGTGGCAGGTTCCGGGTTGGTGTGGAGTCCAGTCCCCGGCTGGCCAGTGGGGTGGCTGCAGGGGGCCAGCCTCCAGATGGAGCGGGGATGGGAGAGAGAGGCCAGGTCTGCCACGGCCTGTGGGCTCCTCTGCAGCCAGAGTCCCCCGTGGGGACAAGGCCCCAGGGGTCTGCCTTCCTCACACCTCGGGCTGGACTCTGGACCCCAGGGGGAGGGACGGGAGTCCTCACATCGCTGGCGCAGGTCAGCCCAGCAGAGGGGCAGGGATGACGGACATGGCACGGGTCAGGATGTCAGCTGGGATCTCCAGGCTCAGCCCCCGAGTCTCAGGCACCCGAGGGTGGAAGAGCCTGGGTTCCACCGCGCCAGGGCCGGGAGTGCCGAGGGGCCTCTTCCTCATCGTCACTGTCACTGTCACAGCAGCTCATTCCTGTGCTGCCCGTTTCACAGGCTGCATCAGCCTGAAGGACTCCGAGGCGTCAGAGAGGAGTTTCTTTATATTTTTTTTAACTGAAGAACAGCCCTGACCTCTGAAGCAAACCGCTCCGTCCTGGCTCGCCCTTGACCTTGTGCGACCCTGGGCAGGCAACTTTCTCTCTGAGCCTCAGTGACCCGGTCTGTGAGGTGGGGACCAAGCCAGTACCTGCCTTGAGGGCCTGCGGGAGCCTGGACAGTGGGGAGCCCAACTGCCCCCACAAAGGGGGGCCCGACCTCTCCACAGCACCAGAGGGGCCAGGGCAGCAGGAGCCTGCACACCCCAGAGGCCCTTCCTAATACCCAACCTCCTGGTTCAGGTCAGTGCCCCGGATGCTGGGCGCCGGCCCCTGGCCACCCCATGATCGCCTGCAGCAGGTGCCCAGAGGCCTCCTCTCACCCCACCTTGTGCAAGGACGGGGCTGGACTCTCCCCTCGGACGGAGCTCCAGGAGGGGCCCCAAGCGCTCGGGTGAGGAGGACCCTCCTCCCGGCCCTCCCTCCAGGACTTCAGGTCTGTGGGCTTCCCAGAGCCAAAGCCTGCAGCCCCGAGCCCTCAGCCCAGGCCATGCGGAGGAAGGACACACAGAGCTGTGACTGGGCCGGGTCTCCGCCCTCCGAGCCCCAGCCTCTGTAACACACCACTCCTGGGACTCGCCACGAGGCACTAAACCCAGCACAGTGCTGCCACGGGGGAGCGCGGGGACGTTGGGGGAGCCGCCCCCTCCCCCGGGGTGCGTGGGACGGTCCAGCTGGCTCTGCGGGCGGCTGCAGGATCCCTCCTGCTTCACCCTCTGTTTTTGTTACAACATGCTGGGATATTTGTTTTTTGTAAAAATAATAAAACAAGAGAATTTGGAGAATAGAAGAAGGAAAAAAGCATCCGTGATCCAGCCACCAACGCCGGCCACCAATGCGGCCACCAACGCGGCCACCAACGCCGGCCCAGCCCCCGCCTTCCTCGCTCCCGGCTCCCTTTGCCTCCTGCAGTTTTCCTCCATGGAACTGGGTGTGCCCTGCTGTCATGAGGGCATTCTTGTGGCTTCCCAGGTGACAATGATGTCCATGTCACCTTCCGGGGCCTGGGGCCTGCTGCTGCCTCTTACTCCACAGCCCACTGTGGCTCCTGATCTCTCAGGGTGCAGAGCAGGGCTCTCGGGAGTGGGGACCAGAGGGCGGGAAGCCAGGGGTCCGGGCACCCAGGGGCCATGTCCCCATGCTGGTGCCCAGGGCCGGCAGGGCCGAGGCCACGGGGGTCCCCAGGGGCTGGAGCCAGGGGAGGATGCCCACCTGGCCTGGCCTGGCATCGCTCTTCTGGGACCTGGGGCCTGACTAGCCCCAGGGCCTGAGTTCAAATCTAGGCTGCGTCTGCACTGGCTGCACACAGGGTCAGGTGACGAGATCACACCACAGCCCTGAATAGCAGCCCTAAAGTCAGCAGGGAACAAGACAGGCCAACTCTGCAGAGGTGACGAATGAGCCATGCAGAGGAAAGGAACAGCGGCCGGAAGAGCAAGGAAGGAGGTCCTGAGGCTGGGGAGCTTGACCAGGGTGAGGGACAGCAAGGGCGGCCATGCTGGTGAGCCGGGAGAGGGCGAGGCCAGAGAGCGCGTGAGCCCTGAGGCCTGGCGGGAGCCCAGGCCCGTGCCAGGTTCAGTGGGAGGTCCCAAAGCAAGAGAGCCAGCCACCCACCCACCCAAAGCTCTCCCTGTGTGCGTGGAGAAGGGGCCACAGGAGCCCGTGAGGGGGCAACGGCAGCCCCACTGCAGACCAGTGGCCGGGACCAGGGCGGGAAAGAAGGAGCGGGGCAGACCAGACCTGTTCTTGAGGAGGCAGACGGGTGGGGATTCAGTTCAGGAGGAGCCGCAGGTCACAGGGTCATGGGGCCGGAAGGGGCAGGAGGGGAGGCCAGCAAGGCAGGGGAGAGGGAAGCAGGCCACCACCTGCCTGCAGCTCTGCTCTCCCCCGGCGCGCTCCACCCGTGCCCTGGCCTACACTCCTGGTGGCCCGGCCAGCTGGGCTCAGGAACACCAGTTTCTCCTACGGGAGGATTCCCCGGCTGTGAAAGGGTCCTCTGACACACCTGGGCGCTGGGGATGCAGGGACATTTCCATTTGCCTTCTGTGCAAAGAACAGGGCAGCGTGGGCCCAGGAGCCAGCCTTTACCCAGCAGGCCTGGTTACAACTCAGGTGAACAAGCAGGCCTTAGGCCAGTCCAGGGAGATGAACCGGTCCCTTCTGTGTAGCAACGACAATTCCATCAGCTGCACAGAGCACCGAGGAGACTGATCCAGAACACTGGGATCTGGGATCCATTATCAATGCCTGCCACGGGCACAGGAGGGGAGGGTGAGGCCTGAGTGCCCCTGTTTAACCATCCTGGTCTCCCCTTTTTCTATTTCTAGAGGTGGCCTTTCTAGAAACAGGAGGGGGAGGGCTGGCCTAGGAGGGCAGGAAAGGGCTGGTTCAGCTATCTCTACCCTGGAGGCTCCACCAAAGTGAACCGAAGCCTACTTATTCGACGTCCACGGAAATTTCTGGAACTTTCTTTCTTTAGAGCTTGCTAGGGAAGGTGTCACACAGTGAGGAGCAGGTGTGCAGGCACAGGCCAGCCTCCTTGGCCTCCCTGCTGGTCCCCTCCCAGGCCTGACCCTGCCTCACGGCCATGTGCTCCCCCAGGTGGTGGCCCGAATGCTGGCAGCCAGCAGCGCCTGCCTGGACCCTGCCCTCAAGCCCCGACCCCGGCCTGTCACCCTGCTCAGCCTGAGATGCTGCTGCTTTGTGCTGATGTGTCTGCCCAGGGTTGGGGCTTGGTCTGTGTCACCCTGCGTCTGGGACAGGCCCTGGGCAGCTCTGCTCCACCAACGCTTGGCGAGTGAATGGGAGCGACCTCCCCTGGCCCACCTGGGCCTCGGCTCCCCATCAACACGGTGAGGAGGGGTCCCCCCAGCACTGCTAAGATGGGGGCAGCAGTGGAGGCGCTGCTCAGCACACCACGGGGACGCGCTCGCCAGGCGCCCTCCCAACGTCCCCCACGAAGTAGAGCATCTGCTCTTGACGCCGTCCGCCAAGCCCGACTCCCACTCCCGCCTTCCGACGGGGACACTGAGGCCCCAGGAAGCTCAGCCCAGGTGTGGGCAAGTCAGAGCGCGGCCAGCTGCCCGGCTCCGAGCCCCCACCCTGGCCACCTGCCTCTCCTGGGCGGCCAGGGGAGCACCTGGGAGCTCAGGGGGCCCTCAGTGTCCTCATCCCCGAGATGCAGATGGGACCTTCTCCTCCAGGGGACTGCGAGGGGAAACAAGTGGGGCTGCCTTGAGTGCCCCCTGTCACCCACGGGTGCTGAGGAAGTGCCCGTCTCTCAAGGACAGGCCTTGCCCTCTTCCTGCCCTGGAAGGAAGGTCTAGGAACCCTTCTCCCACCGGAGGGCCACGTCACGGCTGTCTCCTAATGGCCACCCAGGACCCTAACCCGGCCCCCGGCCCGGCCCCCAGAGGATGGGGGCCGCCCGTGGTTCAGGAGACCTGTGCAGCCTCCCTCCCTCAGCGGGGCCAGAGCCAGGTCCTGGGGTCCTGCTGCCCACTGTCATGGCAGCCCTGCCACCCCCCAGGCACGGGCGAGGGACTCCCTGTGAGCCTCCCTTTCCTTGTCTGCCACGTGGAGGTGACAGGCCATGTCACACTCGGGAATGTGCTCCCAAAGCACCGAGGGGGGTGCCTTCGGAGGCTGAGCATCCACTGTGGCCAGGCCCTGGGGACACAGTGAAGGACAGGCGAAGGTGACCAGCCTTGAGCTGGGGGACGCAGACAGGGGCAGAAACATTTAACCACTGTCACAGGCCATCACAGAGAAGCATGGGTCAGTGGGGGTCAGAGAGACCCCAACCCAGCTAGAGGCCAGGGAGGGTGCGGGAAGGAGGCTGAGGGGGAGCTGGAGCCAGGAGGGGGCCCATGCCGGGGAGCGGCAGGGACAGAGCGAGGGGACGCAAGGAACGTCACCAGGTCAGGCTGGCAGAGGGCAGGGTGGCACGCGCCTGGGCAGCCAGCAGACTGGACCCTACGGGGCCACTCGGCACATAACCACGCTCAGTGTCCGGCCTCCTAGGGTCTGGCTGCCCTGGCCCCTCTGACCGCCGGCAGGAAGGGAAGAGCGTGTCCAGAGGGGAGTCCAGGGGGGCTTCCTGGAGGAGGGTCCTAGGCTGCACCTTGGAGGAGGAGCCCAGGAAGGGAGCACCCAGGGATAGAGACCTAGAAGCAGGAATGTTCTGGAACGCCCACCTGGGGAAGTCGGGAAGTAGGAAACGAGGTCAGTCCTGGGATAGAGCTGGGTGGCTGCTCGCTCTCCTCCCGCTGCTGGCTCGGCCTGCTCAGCCTCCCATCACTGCCCACCTGGCCAGGGTCCCCTGCGGAGGTCAGCAGAGCCCGCAGGACATGGCTCTGCACCTTCTACAGTGTGAACTCGGGCATGGGGGTGTCAGAGGTGGCCCGGGAGGAGCCCGGGAGGCCTCCCTCCAAGCTGTTCCCCCATCAGGGCTCATCTTACAGCGGGAGCCCCGTCCTCCCCCTATCGCACAGTGACCGACAGCATCACCCAGGCCAGGCACCCTACACCATTACAGACCTCACTGACCCCTCCCTGCAAAACCTTCCATTTGCTCCAGGACAAGCGACCTCAGAATCCGTCTTAACACACACTCTAGGCAAGCCACCGCGGGCTGACCAGAGCTGGCGCCCAGAGGAAATCTACCCACCACGCCCGACCTACACCCAGCCATTGTGAGCAGACTCACCTGAGCCCCTAGGAGGGAAGAGACCTGTCAAGGCCACACAGCATTTAATGACAAAGCTGGGCCCGGCCTTGTCATCCTAACCCCTCCCTAGGGTCTAGTGGGCCTGGGGGTGCCCCAGGCCCTAACTGCCAGCACCCCACCCAAACCAGTTAGCTGAGACCGCACCGAGCCAGGGACAGGGCTGGTGTGTGGATGGGCATGCTCCGAGGCCCCTGCATGCTGTCCTGGGCACCGGGACTCTGTCCCCATCAGCACAAAGCCCCCGTCCCCACCCCTGAGTTTGGGTAAACGGCTACTCACCACTGCTGCACTTCCTTCTCGGTGACTGCAAGAGAAAACAGAAAAGTGGCCATTAGCTCAGGTGACCCCGCACACGCAGGTGCTCACTGGGGCCACCCTTCTGTCCACCCCACCCGCAGCCTCCCTGTCCGCTCAGGGCACCGACCTGCTCTGAACAAGAAGAGGTGACGAGTACTGGGCAGGGGACAGCGCTGGCCCCTCCTCTCAATGCTCACTGTGCTGCTGCTGCTGCTGCGAGCCCCAGAAATACCCGGGGACGCCGCGGTCACTTCTCCAGGAAGCCAACGTTCAAGCACATTCTTTCCCATCTCTCCGTCCCCAGGGACAATCAGGGAGGGTGGCTGTCCAACCTGGCTGCCCTGCCTGCCTGTGGGGACCTGGCCAGGTGGGGGGCCACTCTCAGCAGGAGGGCCACCTCCCTCCCTGCCACCCCCCAGGCCCTTGGTGGACAGTCCGGGTTCTTCCACTGGCAAGATGTGGTCATTGCATGAATCCAAAGCTGGAAGGAGCCACAGAAACTGCTGACCCTGGAGCCGGCCCGAATGGTCACTGTACTGACCATGAAACAGCCAAACAAGGGGTTTTCTGAAAAGTACTGAACCTGTCAAGCTGGAACCAAACCCAGGTTCTCTCTCAAGTCACTGAACAAGCACCTCAAGCCCCTCTCCTTGTCCATGTGACATGGGAGAGCTCCCGAGCACCCTGTGCCTCGGTTTCCTCATTTGCAGGCACGATGGCAGCGGTACCTGCCACACAGCGCTGGCCCAGGACCCCATCCTATCAGGTGCAGAAGTGCCTGGGTCCCCAGGTGTGGGGCGGAGAGCTCCAATGAGCTCACGGGCGGCAGGCAGAGAAGGAGTGAGCAGATGCACAGAAGGCGCACAGGTGGAGCCAGGCGGGCCCGGAGCTGTCCCTGCCCACACAGGCCGGGGGAGGTCACTTCACGAAAACTGCTCAGACAGCCACCAAACACCAAGCGCCCACTGTGACCAGGCCTGCGCCCAGGGCGGCCCTGCCCCAGCCTAAGGGAAGATAGCATTGGCCTTTCCCAGCTCCAAGTGGGGACACGGAGGCCCACAAGGCCAGGAAGAGGGTCCAAACTCAGGTGTGGGACTCAGAACCCGCATCAGACCCCAGCGTGCACTGAGAGCCTCCGCCTCCCATCCGCTCCTGAGCCCAGATCAGACCCTGGGATGAGAACCGCCCCGGGGCCACCGCGGTGGCGCAGGCCTGTAATCTCAGTGGCTCGGGAGGCTGAGGCAGGAAGATCACAAGTTCAAAGCCAGCCTCAGCAATGGCGAGACACTAAGCACCTCAGTGAGACCCTGTCTCTAAATAAAATGCAAAATAGGGCTGGGGATGTGGCTCAGCGGCGGAGTGCCCTGTGTTCAATCCCTGGTACCAAAGAGAGAGAGAGAGCGCGAGAGAGCGAGTGCGCGCCAGGCCATGATGGAGATGCGGCTCTCCTGGAAGCCCAGACCTGGCATGAAGAATGCAACTTCCCTGAGAAAATTCTGGCAGAGGTACAGGGTGAGGGCTTAGGCCTGGGGGTAGAGAGGGAAGGTGTCCCTGGTCTTACCCAGGACAGGCTGCCCTAGACCTACCCCCTGCAGGAATCTGGGGACACAGGTGGCCCACTACTACACAGCCAAGAGCTCAGGGCCACCAGCTCTGGAGCCCGGCCAGTGAACCCACGTCTAAACCAAGCCCAGAACTCACCAGCTGTGCGACCCTGGGGAAACTGCCTCCCGTCTGAAGCTCGGTTTCCTCATCTGCACGTGGGCACGTTGGGAAGGTTGGATTAGAAAGCACCAGAATCCCACAGCGAGGTGGGACCCATCTCCCCCGGGAGGAGACAGAGTTCTGGGGGTCAGCCTGCCTATCAGAGGGCACCTGAGTCACCTGCCAGGCCAGGAAGGCCAGGATGATGCTTCCAGGCCCAGAATGAATGGCCAGTATGGTCCCCAACCCCACCCCGAGTCAGCCAAGGAGCTGCCGGACCCCGTGTGACCTAAGCAAGGGCCTGAATGGCAGGTCCACTGCGGACCCCAGGTGGGCCTCATAGGGCCAGAGAGCTACTCCCCGGGATCCCCCAGCTCAGAAGTCCCACCACCTCAGAAGTCTCTGGCAGCCTTTCCCCCAGGGCCACTGTCCTCCAGCCTCCCCTGCTCTTCCTCACCCATCAAGCCACCCAGCGGCTGGCTGCACCCCCTTGGACTGTCCCCCACACAGAACACGGGGTGATCAGCAGGTGGCCAAGCCCCGGGGACATGAGCTGGCCGGGGAGATGCGCCCTATGCACACTTTGAGCAACTAATTAGCCTTCAGGAGACAGTTGAGGCTTCCAGTGTCCCCTGGCCCCATGCCACGGCCAGCAATCCCAGCAGCTTCACGTCTGGGGCCTTGGAGGACCTTGGAGGGCAACAGATAGGGACCTCTCTGGGGCGTAGCCACCCACCCCAGCCCTGCAGAGGCCAAGCAGGCCTGCATCCAACCCAGGCCTCTGCCCACCAGCCACCACCCCACCCCAAGGGGACGTGAGAAACATGGCCAAGGCCCTGCCACAAGGTGGTCCGCAGTCCCCGCCATTCCGACACCCCCTTTAATCCCACGGAGGCTGAGGCAGGAGGATTGAGGGTTCAAAGCCAGCCTCAGCAACTTAGCAAGGCCCTAAGCAACTCGTGAGACCCTTTCTCTAAACAAAGGGGGCTGGGGATGTGGTTGAGTACCCCTGAGTTCAATCCCTGGCACCAAAAACAAAAGATCCCTCCCTGTCCCCCAGTGTGGATCCTCTCCAGATTTTTCTGGAAATCATCCCTCTTAGTTTTTACTCAATTGCTTGATCTCGCTTCTGCCTAAGCAATCATATCTCTAAAATCACCAGCGACTTGGGCCATTTATTCTCTAACACACAGTGAAGATGTCACTGCTGAAAAGAGCAGAGTGGCCGGCCACCCTGGGCCGTCCGTCCTCCGTGCGCTGGAAGGACGTGTCCTCCACTGAGTTCTCCTGCCAAAACGGTTTACCTGAGTCTAATCCTGAGGACAGATGACAAAGCCAGAATGTGGGACATTCAACAGGGCAACTGGCCAGGACCCTTCAATCAGCCACTGCCATGAAAGGCCACGTGGGCCAGAGGAATGTTCCAGAAAAGACCAAGCCAAGGAGGCAACCAGGGGGCCCTGCCGATGCCCGGTGGGGCCTGGGACCTGGAGGGAATGGAGGCTGGTGGAGGTGGGGAGGCCGGGCGGGCTGCAGGAGGCTCAGCCGGGGCCCTGTTGACCGTTTAGGGGTGGACAGGGCAGGGAGGCTACGTGGGAGAGTGTCCTTTCTCTTGCTGGGCCCCTCGGTGTTTAGGACGGGGTGTCCGCAGCTTCTGCTAATTTACCAAGGAGGTGAAAGCCACGAAGCCTGGGATCCAACGCACAGGGATTTGCTGCATAATATTTCAAAAGAAAAAGTTGGGGGAAAATGTTTGTCGACCCATGCGCCCCCACACAACGCCACAAGGGCTGGTCCTGCCCTCGCAGCTATGACCCCACGGGCACAGGGGGAGGGAAGCCTCATGGGCTCCAGCTTCCCTGGGCCTTGGCCTCTGCCCAGGCACCACAGTGACCTCCCCCCTCTGTCCAGGCACCA